GTTTCAGGTGGGTGATTTTGTCTACCTTAAGCTCCAACCTTACCGCCAGGTCTCAGTGGTAAGACGGGCTTGGCACAAGCTAGCTCCCAGGTATTATGGGCCCTACAAGGTGCCAGAAAGAGTGGGCCTTGTTGCTTACAGATTGGACCTCCCTGCTACCTCGAAACTTCATCCGGTGTTTCACATCTCTCTTCTCAAGACGGCTGTGGGAAATCATATTCCTATCTCATCTAGCTTACCCCAATTCACTGAAAAAGGGGACATTTACACAGAGCCCATCAAAATTGTGGATTTCCGATGGGTCCGATGAGATGGGCAGGTTGTACCAGAAGCTAAGGTAGAATGGGCCAGGCTGCCCCCAAAAGATGCCACCTAGGAACCTTATCTAAGGCTGAATGAGAGGTTCCCGAACCTAGACCTTGAGGGCAAGGTCAATGCTAAGGAGGGAGGAAATGTTGGGACCCAAATACCTTCCCCGAACCCAACAAAGGGAGTGGAGCAGGCCACTACCCATCAGCAGTACTCAAGGAGGCAGAAAGGACAGGCGACAGAGTCTCAGAATTAGTTACACACAGAGAGGGTGATTCTGCTGACAAAAGATATTCCCTCCATGATATTTCCCAGAGTTAGTTATCCTGCCAATCAGAGGATATTCCCTCTATGATTACACCTGTAGGCCAGCTATATAAGGCCATACTCTTACAATGAAARGMADRAATGAATATCCYYTGTTTCTCTCTCACTGAATCCCTCTTTTCCTACCTTCCCCTCTTTTCTTCCTCTCCACTTTCTGTTTCAGGAGGTTAAGCCACCCTCGAAGGGGCTTCCGAGGTGGGTGGTATCTCACCATATAGTCAGGGGCATTAGTGTAATTTTATTCTATTATGAATATAAACTAATAGGGGCAGCAGTTGGGTCCCTCAATAGAGAGCATCTGAAGCCCTATTCTCTGGTTATTTATGTTAAAAATAACACTTTCACCATCCAGCCACCACTTAGATCTGAATTACAAATTACAAAATCTATTATTTGTACTTTTTTTGCAACTTGCGGTCAAACCTTTTGACCCATGACCCGGCAAGCATTCTGGTTTTGTGTCCGGACTGAGTCTTAAAACATTGGTCCATGCAGTGTCCGGTGTCAATCAGGTCTGGGTCATGTATGACACTGGTATGCAAGGCAAAAACAGTATCTTGGTATAGGGCCATTACCCAATGTTGGTCCCAGGCTCCTCCCAGCTATTCAGGTCATCGGTGGGGTGGACTGGATATGGAACTAACCATTGGAAATTTTTCACAAAGTGGCTGCTCTCAGACTTGAGCCCATTTTCTCATGCTTGTCAGCTTGAGATTTTACCATTCCACCAAATAATGGCCCCTCTAGGTATCCAGGCATCATAGCTGATAATGGTAAATAACATTTTTAACATACACAGTAAGTATGAAAATTATTATAAATAGTAAATCCAGTACTAGATTCAAACCTAGCCTCCCAACAAAAACTAAAAACTATTTAAACTGTAGAAATTGACCCATAGTAATTAACAAAAAACTAATGAAAAGATCAAGTTGCAGAATGAAAACATGTTGTCACTAACCACTTTCATCAGATAACTCAAATTGCTCCTGAATCACTGATCAGATCAATGGACTTGGGAAACCATCCTTTTACTCCCAGACAGAGAATCACGAGATTTTTCTTTATCTTATTCCTTTTTTGATGGATAAAGAGGACTGAAGTACTTTTATTAACCAAGCAAAATATGAAAAATATAAGCCAAATGTCTTGGGCAAGTACTGACTGTATTATTAGCTATACTAACAAACAGCATAAAGTACTTCACACCTAGCAACTAAATTGAATCGGTGGCATCCAAAAGGTTAATACATAATGTTGAAAGGCTATAACAAACTAAGGAGTTAATGCCAAAGTATAATTTAAAGATTAAGCAAAAGACTTGGGCATGAATTTCTAGAAAACCTGTCTTTTCAGGAAGCGGTTGTGTTGATTAGCTTCACTTAGTTTTTTGATAATCTTCGTTCTTTCAGAATCGGCCAACAGTGACTTCAGCTGTCAAGGAATTATGAGATATTATGAAACAATAGTGCCTTTTCCGGTGCAAACTTATTCAGCACATGCAAGAAAAGAAAAAAACACTAATAGCCTCAAGTTCACAATGTATGCAAATACCATCAAGGCCCATCCTTGTATACCAAATAGGAGGAAGACCAAAATTTGTCTGTTCATGCTATAAACTGCGTTTTGAAAATGCTGCAGTTAAATCCATATGAAATAAATCCTACAAAACACTATGCACAATGAAAAGATATAAGCTTTTCAGGGTTATATCAGACAAGGTTTCCCAAAATGTTGGGAAGGAGAAAGTCATTTCTATACAAGGAAACACAGAAAAACATCACTGAGGGTAAAGTGCATAACTCAATTGGTTGACATTTAGCACCACGGCCATGATGGCCCTGATTGATTCAATCTCAGCTCACCTTGCACTATACTACCCAAAACCAAACTTTTATTAGGAAATTAAAGCCAATAAGTCATATCAAATAAAAAATAAAACAAAAATACCTTTATGGATTATGTTCTTCTGCCAACATACCAAAGCTAAACAATATATGGTCAATTTTGCCATATGCAATTGAGCCTCTGTACTTGAACTGGATCATTTTCAAGGATGAAATTTTTATACTACTTTTACAGTGGGGGGATTAAAATACAATGAACAAATTCATTAACTGTTAGATAAAGCACATATTCCAGGTCAGACAAGAGCACAGGGTTATCAGGTTGTGATAGTTCCAAATAGGCCTGTCAATTTCCAGGTTGACCCATTGTACTCAAAGTAGTTATGTAAGCAATTATATTATATAATATTATTTTGCATTGTATTGTCTCATGACAAAGATAACCTCCAATATTTTATATATGTTTCTCTTGGATTACCTATAATAGCTTCATCTAAGATATCTAAAACTGACATTTTATAGGGGATATATGAGATATTTTGAGAAGAGAGAGTAAAACAATTAGCAGGCTTATTGCCAAATTAGCAGGGTCTAAAGACCTGTTAGTTATAATTAGGTCTTACCAGGTTACATCTCATAAGACTGACCAATAATGGGGGTTAGTTCCAGAAATATTACTTAAAGACCCCGAGGAGATAGGCTGGGACCAGGTCTATTTGCTTCTTATAAGTTCAGGACTGGGTCTACCCCATCTGGCTCAGACCCAACCCATTGACAGGCCTAAAACTAAAAAATCCCAAAGGCCAACATATCCCAAGGTTTAAAGAATATAACCAAATGATTTAGGATATGCCACAATATAAGTCTAGCTATCTATAAATGGAGTGACCTATTTACAATATCTGTCAAGCATACACACACACAAAAAAAAAAAAAAAAAAAAAAAAATCTAATGTGGAGGATCTGTTACTCTTTATCTCACTGTTACTCCTAATAATCTTTTCACAGGTTTGTGAAAAAGAAGTTTAGATTTTCATCTAACAATGAAGAAGAGCATTGAAATCTAGAATATATACTTCCTCAAGACTTACCTTATCACTGTCCAGTGGCTTTGAGAGAATTTCCTCAGATGAATCACTTATTTCAGATTCATCAAGATCACTAGAGAAATCCTTCAGTAAAATTGTGCAAGCTCCATTAGATTGAGCTGCAGAATCCTCCACACTAGAATGTACTGAAAACACTCGTGAAGATGGATGGTACACGAGATTTTTCTCAATAGAAGCATGATTTAAAAAGGATAACCTCTGGTTTCCCATCCTCAAATTACAAAGAACCAAGCTACAAGGAGGTTTGCAGATATATTTCCACTCCAATTTTCTTGAACACCATGGAAACCATGAGCTGTCTTTCTCAGGACAAAACCTGCCAAGATTTTAATGCAATAAAGCAAAATTTAGGAAATGTACCTAACTATTAATACAAACTACATTGAAACTCAAAAGCATGTAAGTACACTGACACTGTTTATAAGAAAAAGAGGTTCAAAACTTGGCTATTTCATGTCAAAAGGATCCTGTAATTCTCTGTAGTGAGGACCAGTATATTGCTCCCACTTGAAATCAATCAAATGGTAAAGAAATTATACAATTTCAAATCATGTCAAAACAAGGAAAATGCATACAACTTTTAATAAAGAGTTACAACATGACATCCATGCGTCTCCACTAACAGGAATTAGATGCTACCTTGATGAAAGGCGGCCAAACTATGAACCCTTTTCATTCTACATTAAGTTATCAGAATTTGATCTACCACAAGCAACAAAAGTTGAAAAGTTTGTGGTTTCACAATGATTCTGCAATGTGAACAAATACATTCTACCTTTGCACTTAAAAAATCAAATGTTAAAGAAATGGTACATTTAGAGACACAGTGTAAAGCTTTTGATTGAAGGGGCAGCATATAAAACAATTATTGCATTGATAAATAAAGATTTAGAATTTTATAAAATATTAAAAACATATAATATATATTGAAAAGTGATTTTACCCCAATTTAGGAATCTATCAAATAATGACTTGTATATTAGAATGTAAGAAGTTACAATTAAGTTTGAATTGTAAAACCAATTAGCCTACATAAATTGGCCATTTAAACTACATATGATAGAAAAATGAACTCAATAATTCAATATGATTTCTAAAAAGGTCTCAAATAACCTAAATAAATCTTATTCTAGTCAGCATCAGTGCCATCTAAGCCTTATCCAAACTATATGGGGTCAGCTACATTAATCCCGTTTCGCCATTCCATTCTGTTTAATAAGAGTTTTAAAACAAGTGCCACTTGAAAAAAAAATAAAGAAACAAAGGAATCATCAAAATAAATAAATTATCTATAAAAAAATGGTCACAATGCGTCTGAGTAAGAAGGCCTCTATTTGAGAGTGGAAAGAGCCACTCTCTGGATACTCTTGCTTGAGAACATGGTGTGCCACTTATCTAAACTAAAAGCCCTCTAATCGGACTACAGAGAGAGAGATAATAAGATATAGATAGAAAAGGTAAATAATAGCAGAAGAATGGAAGAAGAAAAAAAAAAGAGAGAAAGTTAGAAGTGAAACCATTCCAATCGTGGGTGCCATGATGCAGCCCATTATCTTTTATATTTACTGATATAAAGAGAGAAGATTAATTACAACCATGCCCCTGATTGTGTGGCTGATATAAACAAATAAAAAATAAGGCCCATAAGCCCAATAAACTAATGATCCAATAAGAAGATAAATATCCATCAAGAAAGTAGGTAAATATAGCCTATGTTTTCAACAGATTTTGACAACTATTGGTACTTGATGCTATTTTATAGTGTATACTATGTACCAAAGCAGTAATCATACTTTTTGACTTGGAGAAATACAAAAGTAAACCTTAACTTATAAAGTTAGAATCTCTAAAGGTAACAAATACATTTATAAGGATTCATTTTCAGGATATTTACCTAGCAATGCTTGTCATATAGCACTCCATGGTGAACACCTCCTGCCAAAAAGTAAAATAATAATGACAAGAGTCAGGTCTTACCTTTTTTGATCAATTCAGGTCTTACCTTAAGAAGAAGGGTTACTTTTCAACCAACAGATGGTAAAATCAGAAAACAATCAAGACTTCGATTTTTTATTTAGAATCATATTTCTCAACAAATAAATGAATGGCCAATCTATAGAGCAAAACTGAGAAAAGCAATAATCATTTCTTTTTCTAAAGAAGGAATAGTCAGTTCCTCAATAATAGCAACTCCAAGGGATCCAATAATTTGAAATCAACTCTCCAATCTAGAAAGGCTATAGATGTTTTGATCTTTTCTTTGGCAAGAGATATGTTTCTAAGGATGTTACCTTTCTAGAGTCCTTTTTCTAGTCATCCCATCTTTCTTTTTAGGGGGAGAATGTAAGTGAAGATTGGACTCCCTTTTGTCTTCTTGTTCCGATCCCTATTCCTCCTTCCCTTGTTCTTGTCACTGTTTCCATCCCTCATAATGTTACAAAGGCAATGCAGTCCCTCACTGGAAGGAAGCTATGAACTAAGAGATGGAGGCCTTAATAAAGAACCAAACTTGGGAGATTATTCTTTGTCCCAAGGATAAGATTCTTGTCAGGTGTAAGTGAGTTTACACTATTAAGCACAAGGCGATGGCTCAATTAAGAGGTACAAGGCTCAACTTGTAGCCAAAGGATACACTCAAACTTATGAAATTGATTATCTAGAAACCTTTGCTCCAAATGCTAAAATGAACTCTATTCATGTGATCATGTCTCTTGTTGCTTATTACTCTTGGTCTTTATATCAAATGGATGTAAAGAATCCTTCCTTAATGGGGACTTACAAGAATAAGTTTATATAGACTTACCACTTGTGGTAAGCTTTCCTAACAGTAAAGGAAAAGTTTTCTACTTGAAGAAGTCCTTGTATGGGTTCACACAGTCCCCTAGAGTCTAATTTGACAAATTTAGAAATGTTGTCTTAAAGATTGGATTATCTCAATTAGTCAATCTTAGGCAGACTACGCCTTGTTCATAAGAAGAATTGATGGTAAAGTAACAATGTTGATAGTATATGTCGAAGACATTGTTGTGGCGGGTGATGACATCATACGTATCTCTCAGTTGAAATCCTTCCTTGCTTCAAAATTTGAGATTAAGGATCTCGGTGATCTCTGATGCTTTCTTGGCATTGAAGTTGCAAGATCCAGGAAGGAAATCTTTCTTTCACAAAGGAAGTATGTTCTTGACTTACTCCATTAAGTTGGAAAATTAGGGTGTAAGCTTATAAAAACTCTAATTGATCAAGTTGAGTGCTACTAAAGGAGAAGTTCTTCCAGACAAAGGGCTATATCAGAGATTGGTGGGTCATCTCTTGTACCTTTGTTTGCCTAGACTTGACATATCTTATGCTATTGGAGTGGTTATCCAATATATGCAATGAAACTGTATTGTAACAATCAAGAAGCCATAAATATTGTTCACAATCCTATTCAACATGATTGTACAAAGCATATTGAGGTGAACAAACATTTTATTAGAGAAAGAATTGCTAGCGGAGAGATTTGCCTTCCATTTGTAAGGTCGGAAAACCAACTAGCTGATTGCCTCACTAAAGGTGTTTACCATTCAAAGTTTGTTAAAAACTTTAACTCACATTGCGAGAGTTAGTTGCATGTTAAAATATCTCCCATTATCAAATTACTTGGACCAATAAGAAGTGAATTATTTCCCTTTCTTCTTAAAGGGATCACTCCATTTATTTTCATTTGATCACTCCAAAGTAAAACACTAACAATTAACGGTGAGATGGTTGATATTGGAAGGTACAAAATAATTAAGAACTGAGACGTGTAAGTCTATGCAAATATTGCAATATAAAGAGAGCATAGTTTCGTTGTGCATGCAAAAAAACCGGCTACATAAGAATATGCAATCAATCAATCAATTAGGTCAAATCAGATCGGGCATGAGATCTGAATTTGATTGACCCAATACAGTTAGGGGTTCCGAATAAACCGAATTGAAAAAAATAAAAATCGGAACCGAAACCAAAATTTAGAAAAACCGAAATAATTAAAATCGAAATTTTCGGTTATTTCCGTTAAAACCGAATTTTAATAATATATACTCTACTATATATAATATATATATATATATTATATTATATATTATTGATGTAGCGCAATCCGGTCACTCTTAAATGGCGCTCGCGTGGCTCCTGAGAGGTACCTGAGACGGCTGGGCATGATTGCCATATATGATCAGCTTGAAGGGGAATGTTGAGAATTCTTGGGCAAGGGTGTTTTATACTTTTCACAATATTTTTGCATTTGGGTGTCCAAATATGGGCTTTCTTGTAATTTTTATCCAAAGTATAAAAAGTAATTTTGAGGATTTGAATAGTAACAAACACACCTCTTGATGCTCCCTAAGTCTTCTTCTTCTACAAACCCTAAATTTACTACTAAGGTGTCCGCACACTTAAGAATATCTGGAGTTTGCAAAGAAAAGAAAGCGAAACGAGATAATGTTATTTATATTTCTTTCACTAATCCCTCTAAGGTTTCCAAAAAAATTATGGATTCATAGGGTATAAAACCTACTTGGACAAGAAAAATGACATCTCAACTAAAGCAAAAGAAAATATCTCCTAAGATCTCATAACTTGGTAGTAAGTAAAACCACTATACAAAGAACAAATACAAAATCTATAGAAACATTTCATTAGGCCTTCTTGTTAACTGTTAGAAATTGTGTGCACCCATGGAGCCCAACATTTCTCTTGGTGATTGGATATGTTATCAAAATACACAATGTTCTGCTTGTTCCACACACACCTGTTGCAAGCTGATTGCTGGCCCATCATAACACTGATGATGATGCACATAAGATTTGTACAAGCCAAGCATGTAAAAAAGCATGAATTTTGTTTCCTTTTCTCAGTTTTGGGGCATGCATGATACATTATCCACAGTAGTTTCAAATTAAGCCCAAAAAAAACATAAAACCTTGATAGGAAATCCACATTGTTACCAATGGACTGAAACTTCTAGACCTCATTTAACAACAAATAGTTCTGAGCATATCATAGTTCAACTAAGAAACTTAGAAATTGCTTTGAGTTGCTTCTTTAGGTAGAAAACAGAATAGAAACAAAAATTAACCCCAACTTGTCCCTTGAAAGCACCTCTGCATTTCAATTTCTGTCCTTACATTTTTCCTTTTCATTTCTTTTTGTGTTTAGGGTGGTAGTCAATCAAATGAACTTGATATATTCTAATTCTTCTTGCTAATTTCACCAGAAAGACTTGTTTAACCCAGACTATAGAAAAGCTTGATCATACTGGAAAGCACTGAACATGTTGACATTAATAATTAATTCTACCAACTATGTTATTAACTATGACCTAGGAGTAGTTTTCCAAAGATTTTCCTGGCAAGTCTGAGGGTATTCAAGAAGCAATGTTGTACAGGTTTACCCTTTCTATGGCGGAACAAGGCAATCCATTTAAGAAGGTTTCACTTTAGCACAACATTGATGATGAAACAATGATTTCATACGGCATAAATTTCATATAAGTTTTATTTAAAAAGAAGGTATAGAGATGCAGGAACTGTAAATTAGATAACGCCAATCAATCTAAATCTTCATTCAGGCATCTCAAGACAATGGTTGGAAGTTGGAACCGACATTTATACGAACACATGGTGAGAGATATAAGAAACTAACAGAATTATAGTTCAATAAAGAACAAGAAGAAGAAAATGATAAATAATAGTATGAAATATGGACAAGAACAGAGAAAAATCAAACACTTCGAAGAGATATTAAGATACCTGGAACTGCAGAAGGAGATTGAGGGCACAGTCCAAAAGGGTCTTCACCTGACTGAAGCAGCTGCTTACCCAAGTCCAGGATAACGCTGACTGCTGCCAGTGTTTGAAATGGGGAGAGAGCCGACAGCCGAGGGCGTCTACAGGGGGCTCTCCGCTCTTGTGTGGCAGAGAAGAGAGAATTTCGTCTCCACAATTCGTTTTTCCACACGTGAAACTTTTCCGGCCATCCACGTGTAAAAAAAAAGAAACAGAAACAGACGGAAAGGCACGTCAAGGGCGTGTTTGAATGGGGAAAATTCACTGGGCCCAGACCCCCTTCACGGAAATGTATTGGGCTCAGGCCCATATAATTGTAGTGTTGATGTTAAGCTTCTATTTGGAAGGTTGCAACTGGGGAATAGAATCATTAGAACCCACACCAACTGCTTCCATGGATCTTTCTGCTCTCGATGTCTTTTACCAAGCTGTCTGTTGTTGCTTGCAAGTCGCAACCTTCCATGCCAAGCCAAGCACAGGAACAATGGTCAGCCCAGCCTGCATCAGTCATGGCACAGTCAGTAGCAGCTCAGTCTATTTAATCTTAAGCAAGGTTCAAAATTTCAATACGATACACCACATATTAAATATATTATATGGCATATTTTGGTAATTGATACACCTATTCCAAGAGATTTTGAGAACTTTTTAGTTTTTTCAATAATTGATACGCTCTCTTTCTCTCTCACACATACCTTTTCAATAACCCAAATAATCTCCTCTCTTACTAAACTACTTCCCCCACCTAAAATTTCTCCTAATCTATTTTACAATAAATCATCTAATGCTAACACATCTTTCCTACTCTTTCTCTCCCATAAGTTTCCAATAACCTAAATAATCTCTTCTCATAAAAGTTCTCCTAAACTATCACCCTCACGGCCCCACCTAAAACTTCCTCGTAAAACATCTCCTAATATATCTCACAATAAACCATATAATTCTCACACAACTCTCTCTTTCTCTACCTTCTGAATACATGTATTTAATTTTTCATCAATGTATTAAAAAATTAATGTTAAGTCAAAACTTTTTTCAAAAACCAGTTTAAGTTAAAACTTAAACATTGAATAAGGTGAGTAAAAACTATCTAAAATACAAATAAGAGAAAAAATAAATAATACAATAAGACAAATGATAAAATTAAATTAATAAAAATTTAATAATTAATTAAAAATATTATTATAATTATAAATAATATTTTCAATGTGTTATTATAAAATTTAATAATTAATTATAATATCTTTATAATTATAAAGTAATAAAATTTAGTTACAATTTAAAAATGATTAACATAATAGAAAATTTAAAATAAGTTATTGTTTCTTAATTTTAACAATAATAATTGTTAAATTTAATTACATTAATGTTATACTTTATTTGTAATAAAAAATCTAACATTATTAAAAATTTTAAACAATAATAAACTTAGCATAATATCATAACGTAAATTATGCATCACAAAAAAAAAATAAAAAATTATTGAAAATACAATAAATATTAAATTTAGTATATATAAATACATAATAAATATAGATAAAATTTTAAAATTATTATTAATAAATACTAATTTTTTGAAAGTTATTTTCTGGAATTATTAATTTATTTGAATAAATTAATTTTTAAAATATTTGTATGTATAAATAATTAATTACTAAAAATATCAAAGTAAATTGATATTTAATAAATATAATTATCCTATACATTTAATGTTTGAGAAGTTTCCACCTTTGTTATGATGGTGAAATCGGACGTAGGGTGATGTGGCCAAAGGCTAAGACGTGGATGCCGACCCACTTTTGCCTTTGGGTTGTGGGTCACTGGTTCAACCATTCGAGTCAAACAGGTCAGACCACTCCATGTCAACACTCTATATATTTAAGTAAATATATATTTATATACCTATATAAATGTGTATATGTGTGTGTGTGTGTGTGTGCAAATACATATTTTTATCAATAAATAGTGTATAATTATGTTTTACATATAACATGTGCTATTTTATATTTAATTTATGTTTTTTAATTCAGTTATTAATTTTTTATTTAAAAAATATTAAAAAGATCACCTCAATCGAACATTGGAATGCAAAGTTATGGCCTCTAAAAGTTTGCACATACATTAAGTGTGCAACTCACAACCTAGTGTCTAGGTCGAATGGATCAATGGTTGAATTGTTTGGGTCGAACGGTTTTTGACCCAAGGGTGAGTTTCAACAAACTGGACGCATATTCAAAGGTAGGGTCAAAAGATTTAACTAGTATTGGTATTTGGTTTGGTTGGTCAGCTCAAAAGATTTAAACTTAAAAAATTAAATTTAAGTTTAAAAAGTTAGAACAATATTATTAAAAATTAAATTTAAATGTTTGAAATTATAATATAAAATATTTTATACTAAGAAATATGGGAATTTTTTCACTTTCTCATATTAAAAAATTATATTTAAAATATAAAATATTAATATATGTCTATGCTCAGATCAATTCGATTTTGTTCGGTTTACAAATGGCCAAACCGAAACTAACCCAATGCAGTCGGGTTGGGAAATTGCAAAACCGAAATTGATTGGGCTTGGGCCTAAAATTTAGGCAACTTAAAACCATATATGTATATATATATACACACTAGTGGAGGCCCGTGCGATGCACAGGATGGGGCACCCTTCCTTGTCCCTCACCCTCATAAGTCAAGAGACACTACTCCATCCTCGCCCTAACCCTAGTGGTGGGGCGGGTTCGGGGCAAGGCACCCATTCCCTGTCGGGGATGGGGAATTCCCAAATTTTCCCCACCTTGAGGAAACCACCTAAACAAATATAATTTTTGGATATTTTACAAATAGGATTATGGGAATTTGGGGGTATTTTAGGAATTAAATTATGACAATTTGGGGGTATTTTATAAATGAAATTATGGGATCCTAGAATTATAAGAGTATGAGGAAAACTTAGATATATTTTAAAAATCAATATTAAATCCCCCTAATATTTTACTAATTTACCATCAGGTTCGGGGAATTATATACAAACCCCATCCCTAATTTGGGGCAAAAATATTTTCCTTATCCCCACCCCGTCTCTACTCCATCCTCGTTTAAGATTTGAGAAAACTTGCCTCATTCGAGGCAAAGCATGGTAGGGCCCCTATTTTATAGGGAAAATTGTCATCCCTACAATTTTAATAATTTTCTATAACTAATTAACTAACAGTAAATTAAATAACAAAAAAATACAATATTTTATGATAATTTCCAAAAAATTATTGAAATCGCTATTGATTAGTATTAATGTATAGTAAATTAATTATTTACATTAACAATAAATTAATGTAAATTATTTACTATTAATCAAAGTAAATGTAATTATATTAAATTATTGTAATTATGGTAAATTACATTATTTTTAATTAAAGGTAAATCATTTGTAGTTAATTAATGTAAAACTAGGTATGATCGAAGTCAACTAAGTGGTCTAGATCGGTGTGGATAAACTTAATAATTTTCCTAAATTATTTAATAATTATTTATTGAAATAATAATAATAATAATAATAATGTATTATTATTTAAATAATTATGAAACAATTTCTATGTAGATTAATTTTCTAACTTTTTAATAATTATTTAGTTGAATAATAATAACGGATTATTATTTAAATAGTTTTAGAGAATACTTCTTTTTCATAGATTAATTTCTTAATTTTTAATTACTTATTTAAAAATAATTATGGATTATTAGTTAAAGAGTTTCCCTAAATTATTTGATAATTGTTAACTATAATTATTGATTTTATAGAAATTAGTAAATTACGCTAATTAGTAATATCTTTTATCAATAAATTATTACTTGACAATATATTATTTTACAATAATGGAAGATGTCATGAATATATATAAGAAACATTGATTTCCCCTTATTCCCCTCTCTTTGCTTGAAAGCACGTCTATAGATATAAATATTGTTTGATTTGGAAAACCAAACTAATAAATTATGGCCCTACTTTTATGGGAAAGTGAAGAAAATAAAAGGGAATTAGAGATAGAAGTGAAGGAGAGGATAAACCATATATTGAGCTAATTAAGGAGAGAAGTTAGGTTGTTATAGAAAGTGAGTTGTGGGGGGAGAGGAATGAAGAGAGAGGGTGCTAAGATGGCAAATTGGGAGTGGTACGAAGGGGGAGAGGAGAAAGAGTAAAGGAGAATGTAGGGTTGGGGTAATGGAGCAAGGAAAAGCAAGGTGATGTGGACCATCTTGATATATATATATATACATTTATGCCAATTTCTAGTCTACTCCTAGGGGTGGCACTTTTCCCCGTCCCCGACGGGGTCAGGGATGGAGGGTACCTTGGCAGGGTCGGGGTCGGGGATGGGGCTACCCCTAAATCCTCGATCAGGTTCGGGGACAGGGATGGGGAATGCAATCCCCACCCAGACCCGTCCCCGATTATTAAATATATAATTATATATAATATTAATATTATTTATATAATATTGATATTATAATATTATTATATTATTGTTCATTTATATTAAAGATTAAGACTTAAAAAATACAAACACTCAACACTTAGAGGTTAGAGTCTACAAATAGAGAACTTTGAATCGTGAACCCTAGTTAGTCTTCTTCCTTCGTCTTTATCACCGATTTGCCGACCACCATCGCTATCGCCACTCGCTCGTTGGACATCGGACGTCCATCATTGCCGACTACCAGTCTACCACTTGAGTCTCAATAGAGGAAAGAGATACTCAAAGAAGAAAGAACTGAAACTCAATCTCAATCTCTCAGACTACTAGTCTATCATCGCCGACTGCTGTCACCATCGCTCGTCGGACTCTCTCTCTCGTTGTTGGCCTCAATTTGCAACGATCCTCTCTCTCTCTCTCTCTCTCTCTCTCTCTCTCTCTCTCAGTCTTAATCTCTCTTTCTCTCTTTCTCGCAATCTCAGCCTCTAAGACTCACAATGCCATTTTTGCTTTGTTAATGGCTAAATCCTTGGGGATTTGGGTCTCCGGAGATGGAGAAGGATTTCTTTCCCCGACGGGGATTGGTGACAGGGATGGGGAGTGATTTGGGGGTCGGGGATGGGGAATGTAATCCCCACCCCGAACCCGCCCTATTGCCATTCCTATTTACTCTTATCAACCGACCCAAGCCCATCTTGAGCCCAAAACCAACCCAAGTACAACAAATTTTAGTGTGGGCTGGGCATAGGTTAGACAGTTTGGGCTT